ATTTCCCCTTCTCAGCTCCTTCAGGGTTCTTTTTATACTCCCCTGTGTCTGCTTCAAATGCATTGGATAGCCCCAGACTTCCCTGTACATATCTGTACCACTACTCTCACCAGCTCACATGTTAATTATCTTTTGGGGTGTCTGTCTCTAACACAAGACTGTCAGCTACCATGGTAGAGAAATATAGAGGATCTATAGGAATACAGCTGGTAGAAGAGCTTAGTTCAAAGAGTTGAAATAGCCTTAGGAAAGAGGTAGAACCAGACATGAGTAATGGTTCATTATGGGAAGGCAGGAGTGAAGGGCATTCCAGGTAGATTAAAGGCATAGTGTTTTTGTCAGTCCATTAACTACTGTTTGTGAGGTTTATCATTCAACACCACATGCAAAGAATAGGGAATAGGTTGATTTGGCTGGAATGTCAAGCAGGTAGGGGTTTGAATGTGAAGCAGGTGGGGCAAAAGGTAATTGGGGTGAGGTTGGGGATGTGAGCTGTACCATGGATAAAGAATCTTCTGGAATTGGCTAAAGAGCTTTCTCTTTATCCTGGAGGCTAAGAGAAGCCTCTGGAAGATTTAAACAGGTAAGTGTTGGATTCAAATTTGGTTCTAAAAGAGGAAGATCTCGAACAGATATGGAGTGATTCATAGGATACATGGTTAAGTGAAAAACAAAACAAAACAAAACAATCTGTGAAAGACAATCCACAGATGGATAGGTAGATAGATAGATAGATAGAAAGAGCCACAGATGAGATGTATGTGTATACATGCATGTACTTCCTAGCTCTGTCCCTTTCATGGCCTAAAATTAACGACACCCCAGTAGCAATGTGCATAACTAGTGCCCACACTTTGGTTTCAAATATGATTCTTCACTAAAAGAAATCAGAGCTTTGGAGAAATGGCTGATTTGAGGACTAGAACTAAGAAAGGACAAGATAAGCCTGAAACATTTTGTAGTCCCAGAAAATAAAGATATGCTCACAGAATGATAGGTCTATGTCTAAAGAACAAAGAACCACAGCAAATGAGCTTTCAACTGACCAAATCTGGGGCAACTCAAGAATCAAAACAAATAATGATAGCAATGAATTATAACCTATTGAACAAAATAAAAATCCATTAATATAAGTAAATATATAAAATCTAAATACAGTATACATTCATACATATTTATATAAATATTGTTTATAATCATATATTATGTTTATCCTATATAATAAAAGACTAACATGCAAATCAACCGTATGACAGAACAACATGTCACTATGCCATGCACTGACCACCAGGGGCATACGCTCAATGTAGGAACTGCCCCTGGTGGTCAGTATGCTCCCAGAGGGGGAGTGCCACTCAGCCAGAAGCTGGGCTCATGGCTGGTGAATGCAGCGGTGGTGGCAGGAGCCTCTCCCACCTCTGTAGCAGTGCTAAGAATGTCTGACTGTGCTCACTGTGGGGAGTGGGCCTAAGTCATCAGTCAGACATCCCCCAATGGCTCCCAGACTAGGAGAGGGTGCAAACCAGTCTGAGAGACCCCCCTGAGTGCATAAATTTAGTGCACCAGGCCTCTAGTGCACTAATATTTCTTTATATAAAATGTATTTTTATAGTATAAATTAAAATGTATAAATTATCTGAAAGGATTAATGGAAAAAACTCTTCCTCAGTAGAATCCCAATTAATAAATATAGAGGAAACAATGGGATTAGAAATTCACTAGCATAGTAATAATTAAACCTGTCAAAAATCATCAGTGAATGCTAAACTAGTGGATAAAAGTTTGATGAGTAATTACAAAATTGAAACAAAAATTGAGCAAGATAAGATCAAGCAGATAAAGACTTTATACCCAATTGCACTCACCTGGTTGTTTAAGTCATATTGCTGTGTTGTATTTGCAATAGGATGATAGCAATTATTATTTATTGAGTGCCATGGTATGATAGGCATTGTGCTAGGTAGGGTTTGGGAGTGGATTTTTTGCATATATTACCTCAGTTAACCATAACAGTAACTCAGTGAAGTTTTTAATTAGTATTCCCATTTTTGAGATAGAGGAACGAGGCTCAAGAAACAAAAAAAATTGTCTAGTGTTAAATAGTATAGGAATCATGGCCAGGACTCAGATTTCCTGCCTTCTGATTTTGAGTGCCATGGGGTTCTCTCATGCAGTGTGTCTCTGGGCTCTCTTAGAGTGCTATGCCTTGAAAGTACACAGAATATATATCAGAGAAGCATTCTTACACAAAACTTTGCATTGGGCTTCCTTCTTTCTCTTCACTATATCCACTCAATTCTTTGCCTCATTTTCCTCATCTGAAAAGGGAGGAGGCATAGCTTCTTTTACATGGTTGTTGTGAGGACTACATTAGATAGTAGATGTAAAGCACAGGGCACAGTGAGAAATAAGTGTTCAGCAGCAGGGGTAATAGCAGTTGTAATGTTAAATTCCCTGGTATGATGGAAACTGTTTTTAAAGGTTACCCCTCAATTTTGGACTGAAACAAAAATCAGAGGTCAGATCATAAAGAGCTTTGTGTATCATGCAAAGGAGATTACATCCAATTCTATAGGCAATAGAAACCACTGAAGAATTTTATTACTGAGAGAAATATGATCTGGTTGGCAATTTAGAGCCAACCAAGGGGAAGAGAGCAAAACCAAGGCAGGGAGAGCAGCAGGACATTGTTGTCAGAAACCAGGCAAGAGAAGACGAGGGTCTGAGTTAATATATCAGCTGGTGTGATATAGAGGAGGGAACACACAGTGGACAGTCACTCTCTGGAACTGGTGCCCAAAGTTGGCAGGAAAGAAAGGAGGAGGTGCTCAGGCTAAGTATTGATTCCTCTCAGGGCACAACCAGAATGCAGAGGAGAGGCAGGTGGGGGGCATGGGAAAGGACCAATTTGGAATGGCTTGGGATATACAGGGGAGTACCAGTGAGAGCTGGATATTCAGATCAGAGTGAGAAGAGAGTGTAGGTCAGAATAACATGCCCAGAACTCACTGAATCTGTGGAGGTGGATGAGAGCCATAAGGGGGAGAGATAGAGAATGAGGAGAGGACTAAGGATGGGATTCTGGAAATTCCTATATGTAATGATGACAAAACAAGAGGCAGAGGAGACTGAAGAGGAACACTCAGAAAGATAAAAGAAGTTCAAGGTGGTTGTTTTGTGCCATATTAAAGTCTGCAGAGAGAGCAAATGAAATAAGGAAGGTGCAAGGTGCCTGTTGGATTTGGCAATGAAGTCACTGGGGACCTGGGCAAAAGCAGGTGCCAAGGAGGAATCCAGTTGGCTGGTGGATTCAAGAGAGAATTAGAATTTTTAATTAGGGAAACTAGAACTTGGATGGAGGCTTTTCAGTTCCTAGTTGTGCATTCCCACATACTGTTGGAGAGCTCTGATGGATGGAAGGTCTTGACAGAGCCCAAATCTCCCTCCAGTATCTTCTCTAAGCTCTAGTTTAGCCTTCCAAGTCCAGAGAACCATACAAATCTGTCTTCTCACTAGGTGGCTTCCTCCAACCCCTCTGCCATTCCTCATGTACCCCAGGCTCCCCAGACCTGCCTTGAAGTCCAACTCTCCACAATGGATCCTGTTTTATTGAAACTGGGCTCATTCTTTGGTAACATTGGTCTTTATCTATCTTCCTATTAGGTTGGTTTGTGGCTTTCCAACATTTTTTTAACCTCAACTGAGAATAAGAAATATATTTTACATTATGATCAATATGTACATGTGTACATAACTGAAAGGAGATATACTCTTTGTTTTTTGTTAATCCTTATCTGAGGATATTTTTTCCTGTTGATTTGTTTAGACAGAGTGAAAGGGAAGAAAAGGAAGAGGAGAGAGAGAAACATTAATTGGTTATCTTCTGCACAAGCACCCTGACCCAGGGCTATGGATCGAACCTGCAACCCAGATCCATGTCCTTGACCAAGAATCAAACCAGCCAGGGTAGAAGATCTAGTCTTATTTTCAACTCCATTTCATTCCATTCCATTCTCTGCTATTCTGTTATTAAGTGCTGGTTTTGGCCCCCCATAGTCATTTCACGACCTACTACACCGATTTAATGACTGATGGTGAGAGCCAGGGTGCTAGGAGGGGCTCAGAGAATAAGATGCTAAAAGTATTTGTCAGACTCCATCTCCCTCTCCTTCCTTGGGAACTTCTGTACTGGGCCCACAGGCCTGCTCTCTAATCACTTCTTTTTATGGTTGTGAGAGGAAAGAAGGCTGCTTCCATCACTAGGATGTGAGCCAGGCTTGGGGGTATTTGCATTTACAGAGTGACTCATCATAGGAAGGTGGGCAGCTCTAAGGTGGGATTTAGAGTCAGTGGAGAGAATGGCTCACCTTTCAAATCACCCCACAAAGGCTACTGTCCTTGCACTTACATGAGGCATCCAGCAGCCTGAGGCATTTTCATGCCTGAGGATGCCCTTAGTTGCCTCTACTGCCTCCTTTCATGGGAGATATTTAAAATTTCTCTAAGTTTAAAAATATGGCCACCTATTCCTACAGGCCACCCATCCCCACCTGTCAGACACCTGTCTGGGGTTGTGCTGGTCTTGTCTCCATGACCTCCTCAGGCTTCCCTGAAAAAACATCCTTCCCTTGAGAACCACCCCCCCCCCCCTAAAGTCTTCCAGCAAGGGAAATTTGGGGATTTTTAAATAAGAAAAGATGCCTTATGTGTTCCAACGCTCTCATTTATAATGCCCTTTCTACTTCTGCCCAGGAAGAGCAAGGGTTTCTGGATTTACCTTGACTGCAGACAGAAGGATGTTCCCTGAGGAATAGCAGAGGTCTTTGCTCATCTGCTGAAAGGTACCCCCTGCTGCCATAGACACTTTGGTCCTGGAGAAGTCTCCCAGAGGGCTTGTCCATCGCATACCTGCAATGAGCCAGGCCCTGGGCTGGGCCACAACTTCACCCTGGTGAACAAAACTCCACCCCTGGCCTCTAGCGCTCATAACCAGCTTAAAGATGAGCGAAGAACGCTGGGTCTCCCTCACTTCAGAAGAATTTGACCAACTCCAGAAGTATTCAGAATGTGAGTAAATGGATTGAACCATCTGGGGTGGGACTTCCTCTGGGTCGGGGAGAACATTTCTGGAGAGCATAGCAGAAAGCCACACAGAATGAAGCCAAACCTGACAGCTTATATTTTCTTATAAGCACACAATTAGTGTCTAAAAATAAATAAAACAATTATCTTTACACTCCGTAAATGATATGTGCTCTGCATAGAAATTTAGAATATCTAGGAGAAAAAAGAAAAAAAAAGACTAGGTTAAAAAAATCACAGCTAAACTCAATGATCATTTTGGATATACCCCTTCTGTGCTCATTGCTTTACATGGTGAGTTCTTGACTATACCTTTAGTTCAGCCGGCATTTTCCACCTAAAATAATACTGTTAAGTATTTCCTCAGATCATTGAAACCCCTTCATGGCATAATTTTGAAAGGCTGTAGGCTGTATGGTTACAATGTTAATCACATGCTCTAATAGACTTGTGTTTGAACTCAATTTTTCCCCTCCAATAAGATACAGAATGCTGAGGCATGTCTTTTTCTTGACTTTGTTCTGGAAAAGCCTGGGTTTTCTAGTGGGGCTCTTAGTTCCAAAAGTTGTATCAAGGAACAATTCCTGTGCAGCAAAACACAGTGGTGGCTACACCCACATTCATACTGGGCACACAGCTGTGCCCCCAACCTCCCAGCCCCTGCCAATCCTGACTGGTGACAGGAATCTCCCCGGGCTATGGCAGAACTCCAGCTGACCATTGCACTCTGCACACATGGTGACCATTGTGATTATCACCCTTGATATCATGTGGCACCCATGTTCCACTCTTAGTCTTACAGAGCTCCTACCTGCCCCACAGGTACCACCCTTTTGTACTAATCACCTCTCTCTTCACATTCATTGTCCTAGAGCTTTTGTGAATCACTAGGCCTGTAGCATGTTGGCCTGCCTACAGATCTTGCCCTGGTCATCCTATAAATGCCCTTTTGTCAGCCTGCCCCTCTCCCCTAGGATAGACAGCCCTTGTCCACAACACTAGTCTGGGAGTCAGAAGGTCAGGCTCAGTGCCAGTGCTGGCTCTTGCTGCCCTGACATCCTGTTGTGCAAAATGAGAGGGTTGGACTAGATGATTTCCCTGCAGTTCTCCCACCTCTACCTAACACCCCATATGCTCCCAAGGTCAATAGAAGCTCTGAAAGCTACTAGTCAGTCTTTCTCCAAGTACCCTAGAGCCCATGGCCTCCTCTCTGACCTCATTAGGTTTAGAAAAACTATGTAATGTAGTGACAAGGAGCAAGGCATTGCCCTAGAGGGTAAACTTTGTTCAATTCAATCTGCTCTGTACCAGGCTCTGTACCAGGCCCAGGCAGCAAAATGCCAGGCCCTATCAGGATGAAAAAAAAGCACAAAGGGAATGCTGCCCTTGAAGAATCAGAAGCTTATTAGGGAGTCAGGAATGTGCTCCTGGGCCCAGCAGAGAGTAGGTTTAAAGCAGTAGGCAAACAATGACACAGATGGCTAAATGTAGGCATAAAGGAGAAGAGAATTTAAAGCCAGGGAAATTGATAGGGGACCGTTTATTGTTTGCTAGGCCACTGTAACAAAGTACCACAATCTCAGTGGCTTAGAACAACAGAAAGTGTCTCACAGTTCTGGAGGCTAGAAGTCCAAAGTCAACATGTTGGCAGGCTTGGTTCCTTCTGAGGGCCGTGAGAGGGGTCTGCTCCAGGCCTGTCTCCTTAGCTGTCTTCTCCCTTTGCCTCCTTGCATGGTGTTTTCCCTGTATGCCTTCTCAGTGTCCAAATTTCCCTTTTTATATGAACACATTCACATTGGGACGGACCCATCCTACTGCAGTATGACCTTAACTAATTATATCTGCAATGACACTATTCCCAAATAAGGTCACATCCAAGGTACTGGGGATTAGGATTTTGACATATAACTTTGAGGGGGTGATACAACTTAACCCATAACAGAGGATTTAGCTGGGTGAACTCTCTGAAGAAAAGATGTTTTAAATGTGTCTAGTAGAAGGCGTGAGTGTGGGAGGGGGGGGGGGAAGGAGGGGGCAAAGGTAGAGGGATCCAAAGGGCGGGTGCAGCAAAATACAGTGGTGGCTACACCCACATTCACACTCAGGAATGGTAAGGAGAACTTCTGGGTTACATGAGAGGAGGAGCAAGCGGGGAGTGGAGGAGGACACAAGAGAAATGGGAGAGCAGGCTGTCTTGGTCCTGCATGTCAAGGCATGGCCTGGTTCCCACCGGCCGGGGCAGCGTCTCTAACCCGGAGCCGCGGGTCTGGGCGGGCGGGCGGTGGTATCCTCCCGGGCGGGCCTGGCCACTGGAAGGCAGGGACACCTTCCTGCAGGTCGAGGGTCGCACACCTCCCAGGAAGGCCACTGCCAGCTTCACTCACGAACGAGAGGGAAGGCCTGCCCGGCCGTGGAACGCCCAGGTTAGGGCGCTTTAGAGTAGCCTGGTGAAGGAAGCTGCCAGTTCATGGACCTCAGGCAGTAGCCTCTAGGTGAAATCTAGTCTGAGCTGAGGAATAGAGTTAAGATGATGAATGTGGCCATAAACAAATGCTAATTTGTGGAAAACTGCAGTGGAAGTGTCATAAAAACTTATGGAGCTAGCACTAGATGTTTTGGCTCAGTGGAGAGAACATCAGCCTGCAGATTAAAGGATCCCAGGTTTGATTCCAGTAAATTCTCAGTAGGGAGCATGCAAGAGGCAGCCAATCAATGATTCTCTCTTGTCATTGATATTTCTATCTCTTTCTTTCCTCTCCCTTCCTCTCTGAAATATCTACACTAATAAAAAAGAAACATGCAAATTGATCATACCTCTGCTCCGCCCACCATCCTATCAGAGCGAGTATGCAAACTAACCCAATGAAAATGGCTGCCACCATGGAGCTGGAGCAAGCAGGAGGCTTGGGCTGCCCCCAGAAATGGAGGAAGCCAAGCTTCCCATCTGCTCTGGCCTGCCCTGGCCTCTGCTCAAGGCTACAAAGTTTCAATTATAGAAAATAAATAAATTCCAACAAAGATGGTGGTGCTACAGAGCTGGAGCCAGCCAGAGGCTTGGGTTGTCCCCAGCGATGGAGGAATCCAAGCTTCCCACTACCCTGGCCTGCCCTGGCCTCCTCTCAAGGCTACAAAGTTTCAATTATAGAAGATAAATAAATCCCAGATACCTTCTTCCAACTGGCCCTGGCCTATGTTTGGGTCACCAAGGGGTGTGGCCAGCCTGCAAACCACCACAGGCCCCTCACCCGGCTGCCCCACTCCCCCAGTGAACTCCCACCCTGATCCAGGACACCCTTCAAGGCAAACCAGTCAGCCCCCACCCATGCACCAGGCCTCTAGCCTATCTAATAAAAGGGTAATATGCAAATTGACTTGTCATTCCAACACACAAGATGGCTATCCCCATGTGGACACAAGATGGCTGCCACAAGATGGCCAGCAGGGAAGGGCAGTTAGGGGTTACCAGGCCAGCAGGGGAGGACAGTTAGGGGTAATCAGGCTGGCAGAGGAGCAGTTAGGCATCAATCAGGCTGGCAGGGGAGTGGTTAGGGGGTGATCAGGCTGGCAGGCAGAAGCAGTTAGGGGCAATCAGGAAGGCAGGCAGGCAAGCAATTGGGAGCCAACAGTCCTGGATTGTGAGAGGGATGTCGACTGCTGGTTTAGGCCTGACCCCCCAGGAACATCCCCAAGGGGTCCCAGATTGGAGAAGTTGCAGGCTGGGCTGCAACTTCCTAGTGCACAAATTTCATGCACCAGGACTTTAGTGCCAAATATATATATATATATATATATATATATATATATATATATATATATATATATATATTCACACACACACACACACACACACTCATGGAACTAAAGGAAGCCAGCAAAGACACCTTGAAATCTGTTAATCTGTGGGAATGGCAACATTAGGATTCAGGGCTAGTGAGTGGTTTGGGAACGTTGATGATGACACGTCTACTTCTGCATTTATATGTGCCAGGCTCCAGGAAGCCAGCAATGAATGAGACACAATCCTGCTGTAAAGAGCTCCCAGCCCAATGGGGAAATACAGACAGGACTTAAACAATGATGTTCAGTATAACAGGTGCCAGTGAGTGTGGAGCACAAAGGAGAAGACCTAGACCAGCCTGGGTGGAGGCTTCCAGACTCCAGAAGCACTAGTCGGAGGGAGGACGAGGAGCACATTCCAGGCAGAGGATGTGGCTTGGGCAAGATAGGGAGGTGAGACAGGGTAACTTCAAGAACTGCAAGAAAGAAGAAGAAGAAAAAAAAAGATCTTCAAGCAATTGCCAGTCTGGGAACTTTGTGCTCATATTGGTGGGTGGCATGGTGGAAGTTGGGCTAGAAGTGGAAAGGTAAATAAGACCCCATCTTGGGGGCTGCAGCTTTCTAAGTGGAACATCCTGTGGATCCCAGGAAGGTAGGTAGTGGGCTTGGGTAGAAATGAGGGTTAGGTTATAGCTCTGACTTGGGAATCCTTGTGTAGAGACAGCAGGAAAGAAAAAAATAGGAATGAAGGCCCTTCAGAGAGCAAGAATGTGAGGAGAGAAATGAGAAAACAGGCAGCAAGACAAATTAGTGAACAAACCATACTGGTTGAGGCAGTTAAGGGACAAAGGTGGTCCAAAGATGACAAAGCCATCTAAGAGGCAGGGTGGGCAAAGAGGTCAGAGTATCTGTAGGAAATGGCTCCTTTGTGGATCTGGTCTTTCAACCATCAAGCTCTGTTTTTTTCAGACCCTTCCTCATTTTTTCTTAGAACTGGGTGAGATACTCTGGCACCATTGTTCTAACAGGAGAAGGAAAAAAAAAGATTTAGTTCTTGGAAAATGATTAATCCTCAGAGGAAATCCTGAAAAAGGCACTTATACCAATTTTAGACACATTGTGGTATTCAGTCAGATTGCATTGCTATAGCAACTGCTCTTCCATAACCACTTACACAGGAGCTTTACAATAGCAGAGTAACTGAAGTG